TTTCCTTGTTTTTCCTTCTTTCCCAGTAAGAAAAAACAAGTGTGTATCTATCTGTTTTGAAATAAAAGAAAGAGTTAATGTTCTTTTAAGTTCAGTTATACCTGTTTACTGTATCCTGCTTTGATTTGGAAGAAATCAGTAGAGTATTTCTTCTTGATGAAAGTTTTTCTTGAGTATTTTCTTTGGTGTTTCTTGGAGTTTTTGTGTTTTTACCAAAAAAGGAAATTTTTAAGAATTTAGGATTTGCGGGAAAGAGTTTAGTTTTATTCTTCATTTGTAGATTTATTAGTTTTCTATAAATATTATATTTAAATATTCAAATCTTAATCAAATTCAACTAGATTATATAAAATATAACTTTTGATCTATCTGATAATTGTGGGCTAAAATAATAGGTTAAAGCAGAAAAGGTTATATAAGAAAAGATTTTCAATTTAATTTTGATAAAAACCTATAAAAAATTTATATTCCTTGATATAATAGATTCTATAATACAATTAACAAAAAAAGCAAATCCTAAATTAATCTATTTCAAATTTAATATTTTGAGATCTATTCTAATATTGATACTTTCTAAGCTTAAATATATAAGTATATAAGGTAAGACTATTAGTTACAAATAATAAAAAGATAAATAAAAATCATTAAATCAAGTAAATATATTTAAAACCAAAATTAAAATAATCTGAAATTCAAGTAAGAATACTATATTCTCAGGTGATAAGAATAATAATACTATACTATATTAGTGATATATTCTAAGGACTAACTGGAATCAATCTTTATAATAATACTCTATAGATCTTAATTACAAGTAGTTACAAAATTGTTAAATCTGAATCTAGCAAGTAAGTGGGTTTAAACTAATGGCAAAAATTTCTATTTCCTAAATTTGTTCCATTTGATATATAGACATATCTAAGGAATATAAGTTTATATAGTTGAATTAACAAAGATAAATAAATAAGTTATTATTAGAAATAGTCAATAGGCAATATTAATTCTATATATAAAAGATATAAAAATGTTTAAATTTAATTATATATGTTTTTATATGTAGAAAATATTTGATATTTGTTTAGATATTATATATTAATAAAGATATATATCAATGTATATTTATTTTTTAAAAAAAAAATATATATACTAATTTAATTTTTTTATTTAAAATCTTTAGTTCAAAAGAGATAATTTTTATATAAGTTTATATTTTCAAATAAAATTTATTTAATCTATATTAAGATAATTAATTTTGCTTAATTAAGATTTTTAATTATTTAAAAAATTAAAAATATATAACAAAAAAAAAACTCTTTCTTATATATAATATTTTTTGCTTTTTACTATATAAAGTTCTTCATATTTTTTTTATCTTTATTATAAAAGTTTTAAAAAAATTAAAAAAGTATATTAATATATTAGAATAGGATCTTTAATTAAAAAAAAAGCAAGTTTAAGACTTTTATTTTTTTTTTAAATTACATAAAAAAATTTTGTGACAGTTACTTATTTATATATCTTTCTTAAAACTTTTTGTTAATTTTTTTTTAAAAAAATTTTTTTGTAATTTAGCAAAAAATTATAAAATATATATCTATAAAGTTTATAACAAAAAAATTTTCTCTAGAAAAAAAAATCATACAAAAAATATTCTTCAACTATTTTATCAAAAATCTAAAATTCAAAAAGCTTTTTTTAAAATTTTAGATCTCAATATTAATATTAATATCTTGTTAAAGCCTTTTTTCTAATATATAACTTTTTTTTTAGAGTTTTGTAAAAGATTTTAATTATCTTAGTTTGATTTTAAATTTTTAATTATATCAAAATCTTAAGATAGTAATTGATCAAGATTTTTGAATTAATTGATTTTTTAATAGCAGAAATATAAATAAAATATGTTTCTTTCATATGTTTTTTTATATATAACATTAAATTCAATAATATAATTGATTATATATTAAATTCAATAATATAATTGATTATTTGATTTAAAATTGAATAGTTTTTAATTAAGGTTATAATTTAGAAGTATAATTTTTTTTAATGTAATTTGATATTCTACTTTAATACATAAAATATTTGAAAAGTATATTAAAAGCTAGATTAATATTTAAAAAAAAAAGATAAAAAAAAAACAATATTTTATTTATTTGTTTATTTTTTTATAAATAAATAGATATTTAACACCTGGTTTTTATTGAATTTATTATATTCAAATCATATATTTAAATAGTTATATACAATAGTATCCATAAGTTTTGATAAAATTTTTTAAAAAAATTAAAAATATATTATTATTTAATAAATATTAATCTAAAAAATACAAAAAATTTAGAATAAATCTTTTAGTATAATAAATAATCTTAATTAAAATATTTTTATATTAATTAGTAATATTATTTAAAAATTATATTTTTTTTTTAATGTTCTATTTCAAAAAATATATTATTTTTTATTATGAAAAAACATATAAAAACATATAAAATTAATTGACAAATTAAAATTCAATATAAAAATTTTATTTAAAAAAAATTATTAAAAAAAATTTTAATAATATAATTTATAAACTAGTTATAAGTAAAAATAATTTATAGTATTCAAGTATTTATATTTAAATTTATATTTAATTTAAATAAGTTTTTATTAAGTTAAATATATTCTAAAAATTTATAAAAACTTTCAGATACCACTATATATTAATGATATAAATTTGATCGATACCAATGTTTTAAATACATTACTGCATAAATTGTATTAACAGCAAGACAAATTCTATTTTGAGTAATTAAATCACTTGCAATTAAAAAAATTCTTTCAATAGGTACACTTGTTGCTAAAATTGCTAAATAATTTTTTGCCATTTTACTTAAATTTGAATATTCATCTAAATATCGCTATAATAAAAATTTCGATCGTTTCCTATATAATAATAGAATCAATAATTACTGCAAATGACGAATACAAACAATAATATAATTACCTTAAAATACTCTTCAATAACATCACGCCAACCTTCTGGCAATTCAACATTCCTTTTTGGTTTTTTTGATAATAATTTTATGTAATCATAAACTGACAAAAATTTAGAAAACCCGCCTTCCCCTCGAATATCCATTACATCATCAATCGTGTAACTATATGTTGAGAATCATTAGTTATAGGTTATAAATACATCCTAAGCAATCCAAATACTTACGAAAATGGATCATTTTGCTGCGATTCTTTATATTTTGTAAAATGTGGGATAAATTCTCTGAAGTACTGTTTAGTGCAAACTACTGAATATTTATTATATACCTCAAATTATCATCTTCAAACAAATACCTTGGATTCATCTAGCTTGGCTAAACTCATAGCAGACATTCTTAGTATATTTTCGTCAATTGATATTACCGGGTTGAATGTGTTACTGACAATTTGATGAGGGGGGTTTGAAATCCATCTTTACAACAAATAATAATTCCAAGAGCAGTTTAGATAATAATATCTGAACGTAAGACAAAAAATGGTGCTTCTTAGCGTTTGTATATCATTTTTGTTTATCGATTCATAATAATCAATCCCTGGTGATGGTTCTTCCTGAATGGGTGTTATATTAGGCTCACTAGTGTAATCATTGCTAATGATTTCGAGATCTTCACTAGTTCGGCCCTGTAACCTATGACTTATATATTCCTGTTCAGATTTATATCGCCCCATTTCTTCTTGTATAACAACGCTTCGAATTTCTCGCTAACATGACAGATTAAAATGATGTTATAAATGCTGATATAATATCATGAATATAATAAGTTAAAGACAAATATACTTTATTTATTCGATCCGTGACGGCTAGCGTTGATAGCCTTCCATTATTTCCCCATAATAAAGCATTTACAGGATCATTATTACTATTCTAGGATAAACAGTGAAAGATATTATTAGAAAACATCGTCACAAATAATTTAATTGATTACCCACACATGTTATAATGGAGCAAAAATGCCTAAATTATAACATGCATTCCTATTTCGGGCAACAACACGAGTTGCCTTGTGCGATGAATCGCTCAGAACACGACTGCAAGGTATGGGCAAACGGTAAATGGTGCTACCGACGCATACTAATGGTGGGACCTAAAGAGTCTAGACCATAGTATACTTCTCACTTCAGGCAACAACACGAGTTGCCTTGTGCGAACGA